AAAAAAAAAAAAAAAAAAAAAAGGAACAAAGGAAAAAAAGCCCTTAAACCCGCCTTTAGAGGAGGATGTATTAGAGACGCTCACCCCTAGACCTCTATTAACTGTCAAAATAATGATGAAAAAAGTTTTCACATTATCGTGGCTAGATATCTTCCTTTACTCTTCCACCTTGGGAGAACTCGTCGTTTGTTAATGTGAATTCGGGCGCATACTGCCTCGAAACAGGTGTCCCTCCCACTGAGAGAGGCTACCTCGACCGGGAGAGACCCTCATCCCCCTACCCCCAGCCCTTAACTCCACAGCCACCTCTGCGCTGCCGCTCCGCGGATAAGAAAGAAGACCGACGTTAAGCGCAGAGCTAGGAGTTTAGCGAGTGGCGCAAAGATGCGCAACATGCGCCATGCCCCAAAATGTTGAGTTGTTGCTGCCCCGTGTAGGGGCAGCTGGAAATACATCCTATACCAGGAAACTCCGTAATCAAAATGTTACAAAGAAATAAAACTTTTCCCTTACAGATGTGTTTGTATCTTGGAAATATTTCTTCACGGCCGACGCTTAGGTTTAAAATAGAATTAAATAATTGGTTGAGTTGACCGTACTGACGCCGACAAAGCCAAGAGATTCTAGAGGCAAGGTGAAATCGAACCTTCAAGTGACATTCATAAGTTGGCAAGAATGTATCTCTTTGTTGGACTCTACATGCAGAGAACCAGTGGCCTTAGGACTCAGGTATTTTTAGGGCAAGAAGCACTCAAATTCTCTAGAGATGGAGTGGGATACCACACAGGAAAATACAAAGCGTTGAGTGTCGCTGTCACTGCAGGGTGCTAGCAGCTCACAGGTTGTTTGCATCTCTCCTGTTACACATAGGCCCTGAGATTAGACATGCTTGCACTCTCTCTATCTCCTTCCCTCCCTCCCTCTTCCCTTGCCATCCTTCCCAAAGCAGAAGGTCTTAGCGAAGGCAGGCAGGGCACCCACAGAGGCTGCAGCAGTCGTCAGTCCCGACAGCAGAAATGCTGACCCCAGCAACCAGCAGGAGATAGCGCCGCTCCGAGGGCTTTAATTAAGGGTTTCTCTCCGTAAAGTCAGATATTTCAGGTGCACCTCAAAGTGGGACCAGATCTTGAAAACTAAATGAGACTTTATCTCTGGGTTGAGAAGTGTATGATCATGTCTTCGGGACAATGATGACATATTACTGCAATAACACACAATAACTGAAATTCTTAAGAGGACAAGGGGAGAGGAAGGCATCATGATAAAGTTTTAATCTGTCTAAAAAAGTTCCTTGCAACGTCTGGATTTGGCAGTGCAGCCTGTCTGTTGCTTTTCCTGAGTTGAGCTTTACTCTTAGTCTAAAAGGAAAAGTCCTGAGCTGCGCAGATCTGGAGAGATGCCGGGAAGAGGCGTTGAGGGGGTCTCTACTCCGGCACAACTCATTGTGCAGCCAGGAGTTGGAAAGCGACTCTGTGAAGCAGAAAAGGCACTAGCCACTTTGCGACTTAGGAAACACAACTGAATGTACCCGGACAGGTGCAATCTGCACACAGGCACGGAAGAGCATCATCACTCCCTCCCTTCACCTCAAATTATCATGGGGCACACACTCAACACCCTGCTGGCCTTGGGTGCTGCACCGCAGCTTCCTTAAGGGAGAACCAGTAACAGAATTCGTTTCTGGGTTCACCTCTTTCAACTCTGGGGATTCTGTGATGGAATGTAATTGTCTTGGGGCTGTGGACACCTGGGAGATCAGTGCTGACTGCTTTGCAGACTCCCAGCATTTCTGAAGCGCTTTCTTTTTTGCTCTGCTTATTAGTTTGTGACTTTCGTTGGGCACACAATGTGAAAATAATATGAAGTGGCTCAGCTTATCATTTTTAGAAAACCAGGAAATTAGACATTTCGTTATTATTTGATTTCTTTTGTGACCAGTCTTGCTTTTTTTTAAACCTTTAGTTACCTGGAAAGAAACGTATCACATAAAAAATAACCTTAAATTACTACAGAGACCTGCCTTCTCTCTTCTTGCAGACCCTTGAAACATTTTTTCAAAAGAGGGGAAAATAGGCAAGGGAAAAATAACAACATGAGAGCTCTCATGGTAATTTACTGTTCTAATTCTACATTTTAAAAACAATACGTTCTTTGTAAATTTCAGTGACCCGGATGCCATTTGTAATTTGCCAGGGTCATGGGGGAGACCGTCCCCATCTTGCGCTGTGAATTCATAACTGGCCTGAAGCAAAACTCGCAGAACCTCATCTGCCCAAGGGCAAGGGCACTGAGCTCTGAAGGCAGCGGCTCCTGCAGCATCTGCTTCCTTTCTTTACTGAAAGTTACTGCTGGGAGTCCTAGAGGCCTTGTTGGAACTTGCTTATATAAGACTCGGGACCTGACAAATGGACATTTTGTTTCATTGAGAAACTTTTCATGTAGAAATTTTATTCTAAAACTGCAAATTGCACATCATTCACCGAAGGAGGGAGAAAAAGAGTTGTAAGAAATGCCTCGACTGAGTTCTGCTCAATGCCAAAGACTGGACCAAGGCCCAAAAGGCCCGAAATGCTGAGCCCTTCCTCTGAGACCCTTTCAACAGTGTAAATGGAAGAACTGGAAAAATCAGAGTGACATATAACACTCCTGTCACCCATGTTGACTTCTTGAGTCTTCAAGATATTTCTGAAACACTGTGTAGGACAAGAACTTAACAAGATTCCCGACCTTGTAAAAGTTCAAAAGCTTTTTGATTTCCTCAACTTTCTTTCTAAAAGCTGCACTTACAAAGTTAACAGAGGAGTTGAAATATTCCAAACTGGATTCTGAGAAATGTAGGTTGCCAAAATGGAAAATACTAGTTAAGAAAAAATATCTTACTGAATTCTCTGGATAATGAGCTTGACTCTCCAGTTCCTTTTACCAGAATAGATTTAGGCTGTCAGTTTGAATTCAGATGTCAAATAAGTGACCTATCCTAAATTAATCTCTAGCTCTGTCTACTTTATGTTGCTGTTTAGACATCATCTTTTCCTGACCCAAGAAGAAGACAAAATTCTGTTCATTTACATGGTTTATTGTTGTAAACATTAAAATTGTCTTTCTCAAAGAAAGAATTTATCGAAAAAAAAAATCAGCATCTCTAACTGTCATACACCATAGAAAAAAGGCAGTGACTCATATCATGTGCCATACTAGAAATATACAAAGAAAAATACTACAGAATATGGCAATATTAAAATTCTTACTCAAACATAAAATAATATATTAACTGACAATTTTAGACATTAAAAAAAAAAAACAAAAAAATTCAAAGTGCTCAGTAATTTCCAGGGAGTTATGTATATTATAAGCACTCTGGAAACAGTCAAAAGCTGCTGCATGCAAGTTTTGTTTAGCTTTAGACAACAAAATAATCAAGATATAAACTTTCTTTTATCAACATCAACGGTACATACAACACTTACAAACAAGGAATGTTGGACGGTGTTACAAACACTATGTGTCCCTTTTGTCAGGATTTTCTGATGTGTAATACTTGTGCCCACCTATTTTACAATTGAGAAAATGTTTAAGTCCAGATAACTACCAATCTTTATAAAATCTAACAGACTACATAGTGTCTGAAATACTATTTATATAATATAGACATTACTGAAGTAGCAAGTGCCTATAACATTTTCGACCTAGAATCAACATGCTTGTCCCTTTTTTATGTAATTATTTTCATTTTTTTGCAAACACACTTATCTTTTAGAATTTGTAATATTTATTCATAAATAGGCACAAAATAATTTAAAAAGCCAAACTGCATTAGATAAATTTACAAGCCTTTGCCTTCTTCAACTCATGCCACCCACGCAACATTTAATTTTACTATATATTACAGCTTTCTTTACAGCAGAAAACTTTGAAGTCTTGTTAAAGGGCAATATTTGTGGGTCCCCTTAAGATCGTGTGTGTGTGTGTGTGTGTGTGTGTGTATGTGTGTGTATTACATTTGTGTTAACTGTAACAACCAAGCATGGCCAAACATTTCCCATGATACATTAGCAATCTTTCTTCTGAACAATAAAACTGATTTTTAAACTGATAATAAAAAGTTTGTACCACTGTGTTGTGTGTAGTCCGTGTTCTAAATCCAAGATGCCCCGGAGCCAAAATGCCCTTTCAGGTTCTGCCTGCAGGTTAGGAAATAGCAACAGTTTTTGTTTGTTTGTTTGTTTTCTTTAGAGCTCAAGGGACTGGGGGTTTTACAGAAGGGGAGGAGGGCAGCTTGAGCTGAGACAGCTCAGGGGGCTATCTCTGCCCCTGTGACTTGCCCCCTCTCGACAGTTCTGGTTTTCTTTCCAGTTCTTTGAAGTGCATGGGAGGAGGTCTTAGAAAGGTAAAGTGTCCAGGAAAAGTTTGTCAATTATTGCTGGCGGTGGTACCAAGTCTTCCAGTTTCAGGTAGAAAATGCGCTGTAGCCCCTGTGTGCAAAGGGTACGGAGTTCTGGGAGCTTTCCCAACAGTTTGGACAAATAGTTGGGGCGGTTCAAACCCCCGTTATTGAAAGTCACATGGTCTTTGAGACAATTTACAATCTTGTTTTGCAGTTCTTCCACTCTCTTGGGTTCCTTGAGCCCGTGTCTCTCTGCAGAAAACATAATCAGAAACAGAAGAATACACAAGGTAGTTAGCTAGCTGGCAGGAGCAAACAGGGTCTGTGACAAGGAAAGGCCAGGACAAATCCCACTGGCCAGTTCTGGAGGGGAAGCGTGCTGAGCCTGCAGTACTGACCTGTAACCATAGCCAGGGCAGCAATGCAGGAGAAGGCAGAAATGTCGATGTTCATATTCTGCAAGTTGGAGGAGAATTCAACAATGGAATCAATCCATTCCCCAAAGCCACGTACGCATTGCAACCTGTGCAAGACCACCCCATTGCAAAAGATGAGTTTACCCTCCACTGGGTTGGACCTGCAATTAATACCAAAGAGAGAGAGGGGAGAAAAAGAGAGAGAGAAGAGCTAAACAACTAATTACTTGAAGAGCAATAAATGAGGGATTTAAGAGGCACCTAATTACTGAAGAGTTAATAAAATGTAGACCAGTGGACCTTGAAAGGGTTTAATTTCATAACAGTCAAGAACGCCCCCTACCCCACCTCCATTCCATCCAGCCAAGGCTTCTGGCCTCGCTTGCTCTTT